ACTTTGATATATATGATTCACTCAGCATTAAGAAAATTCAATCAAATGGAAAAAATAACCTTATTCATAGATTCAATTGCTATAACAATTGCCGTCATTATGAATGCTCGAGTCCAACTACACCATACTCTGACCTGCCGCCAATTCCACTATTGAACTAGTTGCAATTAAATGACCACATCCGTCGTGAAATCTCTTCACATCTAATAGATTCAAAAAAAAAATTGTTTGCTCGTTTACTTTTCATTTCACGAGCGGTATGTTGTTGTTTTGTGTAGCAACTTTCAAAGACCAGAAACTAGATATGTTTGGACTGGAAAATTATTATTCGCGAACCATTGCGCGCTGAGTGAACAATATTGATACATGCTGTCATTGCTAAGATTACATAAGGATTTTTTTTTAAGAATCTCAGCGGGCCAGATAACACAATCTTTTATTCTTTGCACACTCCGGTGAGCAAAGCCCGCCATTTTTGTCGACAAGTGTGTTATTGTTGCTCATGTACTCCTCTGCTTTAATCCAGTTTTTATTAGCCTTACATACATGTTATTCATCAAACATGAAGTAAACCTAGACAGTTAAGAAAAAATACAAAACTGTCTGTCATTTTGAGTCACCGAGATCTCATATGCTACCACATAATGTTTGTCATATTGACTAGTCGTGTACAACACCATTGTAATGTAAAGGACATCTTAAAAAGGCATGAAAAAAAATATTACTACTCATGTTGCTTTTGTTTTGGTTTGGCAGCCTGCGACTAATCGACTATATTTTTAACGATTGCACCCATTGACCAACCCCTGGTTTAGCAGATTACAACTAATCCACAATATGTTATTTTCTGCACTCCAGCGAGCAATGCCCGCCATTTTTATCCACTGATCACTGACTGCGCTCAGCCGGATTTATTTCTTATCACTATTTGACATCGATTTACGTCAGTGTAGTATTCTTGTCGAAAATCTGACATTCTTTGTAAAATTCGAGAACTACATATAGAAAAAATTCATCGTGCAAAGCCCGCCATTTTTATCGATCAATTTATCTAACCAGTTTTGTTGCTCATGTGTTATTCTGTGTTGGTTTAATCCTCTTTTAGTTTCCTTTTCGAAGATCGGACATATTTTATTCACCTAGTATGGAGTAAACTCAACCTGTTTAGAAAAATGAAAAATTAGTCTGCAATTTCAATTCACCTAGATATGATGTATTGCATGAACCATTTCCTGTTTAAGATTAAAAATAGAAATTGCGATGTACTTTAAGAGATGAACACACTTCGTAATACTTGGATAGTAACTGGTTCACCTTCGCGTTTCTGCCGAAGATTGCTAATCTTAACTACTTTTTTCATGTTCAGTGAAGATTTAGGAGCTCCACTCATCAGTTATTGAAACTTCGATTTCTAAGCCGGTAAGTTCCATCACTTCTTATTCGATTTGTCTCAAGAAATCGAAGGGAACGCTCGAACGATTTTGGAAAAGCACGTTGCCTCAATCTAGAGGTCTGTTATAGCCGGGAGATTCAGCTCTTTCGCAAATCCTTTAAACATTTTGTACTTTATCAATTTTCAAGGGCGAAAATTGGTTTCTAATAAAAAGTAGATTGGGAAAGTGAGATTCATGCTGTTTCGCTTTGAACTAAATATGCTCATTGTTCCGTTCTCGTTACAACTGACTGCGTCGAGTTGAGAGATTATGCAAAGAGGAACACTGCCGATGCCGACCCGGTCATCCGAACCTCTTCTGACACGAACAAGATCCGAATTTCCCTTCGATTTGACCCTATTTTCATAGTCATATAAAATCAAGGAACTAGAGCTCGGTTAACTTGAATTACTTTAACTTTACCTTGGCTCAATTTTACCCTGAGAACTCGAACTTAGAATAAAAAGATCATTCGATAAACGTATCGAAGGGTCAGAACATAGCTGATTGACACGTCCAAATCTTAATTAGTGGTAACACTTATGACAACGTAAGACATCTAAATTTTCTGAGCTAAACGTTCTTATACTGAACAAACTTAATATATATGAAAGTGACTGTTGATTGGGCAAGAATGGTATATACTTAATTAAATATGAACAGGATGATTGAAATTAACACCAATCGCCGTGACTCAAACCACCGCTAACCCGAACCGGTTTAGAAATTACCACTCAATGAACCTCCGCTAACTCGAACCGGTTTTTAAATTACCACTCGATGCATACTAAATATAAGAAATCGAGTTCAGAAATGATTTCTGTAGGCTAGTGCCCGTAAAACATTGATTATTGTGGCCTTCATATGGCCAGTGATGCAGAAATCGAAGAAAAACACGGTGAACCACTGCGTTATGTATAACGAGTTGAATTGCTCCTATAAGCTTTTTCTTCCCTTAAAACGTTTTACATTTCAATTTCGATTTTATGGAAAAACCCTATAACTTGTAAAAATGGAATTTTAATCGGAATTTTTTTTTTCATTTTAATTCGAACCTAGGAAACGGATGTGGTTTTCAATTGAAGTCATGCTTTGCACATACCTCCATCAAACCAGACTCTTTGGAAAAGTCAATGCTTATTACCCATTGCTAATTACCTCCATGGTGAGCTCAAACTTACTTGTTAACAAGTACATATTAGGAGTTTCATTTAAGCGAGGTGCGGAAGAGGAATGGCGACCAAGTTTTGGCGCCAAAATCGTATTGTTGTCATGGGCAATACGCTCGTGTCCTTTTGACTTCTCTTGGTGGACTTTCACGTTTGACGGTTGATGACGCACGGCTCTTGGGATTCGGTTACCACTGGAAACGAAGGTTGCCCGTGACAACAGTACGGTTAAAATTTCTCTGAGCCTCACCCAACTAACAATCGGAGTAAATTTTAAACTAAGCTAAACTAAGTCCATGGATAATATCAACAAAGTGTAACAAATAGGCGAATTGAATAAAGGAGACACCGTGCCTTTGAAAAGGGTTTGACTGAATATAGCCGCTCCAATGGAATATACCGCAGAGCAATTGAATTACACTTTTACACTGTCACCGATGCACCGACTGAAGGCCTACGGGAGATCTTCAAACAAGAATTGGACAATCGCCAAAAGGCAACCCTAAGAGAATGGAAAAATAAAAAAATATATATCGCGATAACATGTATAAAAAACGTAACACATTTAGCTAAACGTAGGGTTCCTACAAAAAAAACTATAGTACGAAAATGGCTTTTGATTGTGCAATGACGGTATATACATAATTCCTTACTAATTATTAACAGCAGGATTGAAATTCAACACCAATCTCAATGACATGAAACTTCCTTTTTCCCGTTTTTCGTTTCTCATGGAAGGTCAAATTACTCGGGTTTTACTGTAGGTTGGTAACTGGAACAGTGAGTAGATGTATAGAACACACACTTATTTCAATTATCATTACAGATTTAAGTCACATGCTCTGCCAGATCGAGTAAACAAATGCACGTGGCAAACAACATCTTACAAGAGCTACTTTATAAAAGAACTCTAATTACCGCTCGATACATACTAGATATGATAAATCTATTTCAGAAAAGATTCGTGTCGTTTAATTCCGGCTATCAATTGTTGGTCTTCAAAACAATTTTTGCTGTTTAGACATTGCTGATTTTGGCCTTGATATGGTTAGTGATGCGGAAGTCATCAACTCACATGGCAACTCACTTTTTTATATGTGACGGGTTGCACATCTCCTCTAGTTTTTTTCTTCCCTAGCAATATTTTAAATTTAAATTTTATGAAATAACTCTACGTCTCATCAAAATGACGTATCGTACGGAGTTTTTTAATTTGAATGCGATAATTCTGGGAAAGATTAATTGTATTGGCGCCATGCTGAGGTATGTATATCCTCGGTCATTTCCTAGATTTTTAAAGATAGGAAAATGAGGGTCTGATGACAAAGGAATGTCACATTCGAGTGGAGCCTCCTACGCTCCGACGATTGTACATGCATCGAGAAAAGACAACGAAAGAAGGGAAGATAAGTGCATTTTAGCTACTTGTGGGATATGGAAACACATTCCTCGGCAGAGCGGTAAGTTCATTGGTACCGGGAGCCTCATAAAGGACTTCTTTCCCAGGTGTGATAAAAAAATTCATCTGGTCACAAGCGACAAGGTAATTTCATCCGATGATTTGAGTTGCTACTACTTGTATTTCAAGAAGTCAAAATACACTGAAAAGGGACCAAAGAGACTACTTGGTATGGTGTCCGACAAAGTGATCTTCAAATCAGGCCTCTCGATTGTCCCTATTGACCCAAACAAACGCTTCTTAATTAAAAATAGAAAACCTTGAAATCAAAATTTCCGGTCAGCTAAATTGAACTAAATGTCTGTCACAGGCAAAATATTTTTTTGGGAGAGTCTCCCGAGACTGCGCAGGATGCCTATGTGTTTCCATTGGGGTTACTGAAGGATTGAAACGAAACGGAAAACAGCGCTTAAGCGATTGAAAATCTTCGAATTGAATTAATAATTATCAGAGCATGAAAAATGGCGTAAGCCACGTGGTAAATCAATACAGTTCTTTATCTGATTAAGAGCAACCAAAAGTCACAGAGCAGTACATCAATAAACATTAATAGCAAACTTACTCACTTTTAGAACTGAATTCCAACTGTTCCAAAGCCATAAAGGGGTTACAAACCGATAAACCCATACAGTACTGTGTTCCTTCCATAATCTCCAAAATCCGAAATTTGTAAATGAAAAAAGATCCTCTTCATTTTCTGTTTTTTCCCTAAGTTGTAGCCGGTCTTTCGCGTCACATCGGGAAATCCTTCCGCTATTGTTTAAAAATTAGAAATTTACTATTTCGTATTTCAAATTTGCCTGAAATACTACTTTCCCTGGCCAATCACATTTCAGAAATTTCTCAGCTTTAAGTATAACTGTGTGAATGTCCAATAAAAATAATTACAGATGTATGTTTCTTGAAATTTAAGGTAGTTTTGCGGTTCTTCCTAAATAGGGTGGAGGATCTTGCTGGTTCACTTTTGAACCAGACTTACCGTCAGACATTACTTCCGGAACTGCTAAGTTTTGTGGTCTAGGCTCTATTGATTTGAATGGAGTTAAACATAAGACAAACTGTCTTGTTGGAAGAAGAATTCCTTGTAAGTAAAGTTATCTTGATTTGAGTCAAGTATTAAAATACTCGTGATGTTTGAGCTTGATGTTAGAAATTTTAGCAATGCGCAAGCATGGACGTCCTATGTTAAATGCCAAACTTGGAAACCATTTTTTGCTAAGGCAAGCTACTTAACCACTTTAACTTTGTTACGAAAAACCAAGCAGGCATGTGATTGCATGTACAGTGTAAGTTCGCTTTTTTTAGATTTGACTCAGCTGGAACCCATATCGTTTGTAGTGAAATGAATTTGGACTCAAGCAAGAGTCTCTAAAACTAACCCACAGATTACGACTCACTCAAAAAATTTTAAGACAACCCATTTCATGAGACCGGGAAGATTTTTATACAGATCTTTTATATCTGAGACTTACACAGGACGAAAACTTGACACGGTTTGTTTTCATAAACTCACATTTTGTCAGTTTGTTTTCAATGCCGTGAACTGCTTTTGAGATGATAGTCATAACATCATTGTTTTGCACAGTAGTATAAATGGTATCAAGATGTAAATTTTGAATCTTCGAATTCCAGACGCTGAGGAAGAAGGTTGGGTCACTGTAAAAGTGAATGGAAAAAGTGACAGGACTGGCAAATCAAGTTATCTTGGGCAGACAGAAATTTATTATTTCAATGAACGCAAAGAGCTTCTCAAGCAAATAGTCCAGGACGAAGAGCAGCGTCACACCTTCTTCGAAACATGGAAAACTGCTTGTAAAGGGTACTCCACTTATAGCAAAGAAAAAGAGACGAAATCCCGTGGTTCAGGTAAGCATGAGAGACAAGTTGACGTCTTTCATCAATCCCAAGTAAACGTTGAATTTGTTATAAAAACACATAAAGGACTTACGAAAAAGATTATTGGAATCCATTTAGTGCGTGTTGGGTTTTTTGGCGAGATGCATGTGGCTGTAAGTAGGTTTCCTTTGAAATACACCTCTTACTAATCGATTTCGAGGTCCCCACAGTAAGTTACGGAAAGAGTTTTTTCCGCTCAGATTTACATTGTATGGCCCGCGCGCTTCGTGCTTGGGTCATAAATCTGGGCGGAAAAAAAAACAAGGTTCCATAACTTACAATGCGGACCGAGAAAACAAGGTTTGTAAGATATTTATTTTATCTCTGGGTCTAAATACATGGGGGAGATTTCAATTCGAGCAAACTTCTAAATTTGGCAGGCCGCATATAGAAAATTTTCGCTACGACAACCACCCCTCACAACAATACACTACCCCTAAACGGGATAGAATCCTTATTTGTTTCGAGATGAGGAGTAAATTGTCTAATGATCGTAGTGAATTATCTGGATATCGTTTTATCATTGTATTACACCAAAAGTCTTTCATCAAAATTCCTTTCATAGGGTGCATAAATTCAGGGAATCCACTAAATTCACTTCAAGGCTTACTGCTGTTGGTGTATACAGCAGCGGAAACTAATACTCGGCAGTTCATTGAATTAGTCTTCAATTCGTCAGCTGGAAAAGTGGTCTTCAACGCCTACAGGTATACTTCTCCATTACCAGAAGATGTTGCGAGAGCATTTGGCCACGAAGATACTGCGCAGTACCTTGAGTCCATAAGTAAAAGGTATCGTGTATATTTCCATTAAATACTCATTTTAAACTATCATAATGGCATTGAAAATAAACCAATTATGATAATATGATTATGGGGTAAGGGGCTATCCGAATCAAAAATCCCAGTTGAGGCTGAGGCTAAGCGTGACTCAAGTTCTGGAAAGCAAAGAGGACTCAATTTGCACTGTCCTTTTCACACCTACTACTGTTACGAAGAGCACATTCAACTGCATGTATCTTTGAAACCTTGACAAGTGGCTGCTTCGTAGGAGTTTACCATTTAATGAGAATTTGCCAGCAACTACAACTAGTAAGTCAAGAAATTGAAGAAGTTACTTCAATTTGATGTTTGATTTTAACCTATTTACTTTATTCAGGAGCATAATTCGAATTTCTTTTACAATTGCAATTCCTTAGTGACTACTTTTTAAGCAAAAGAAAAATGACATCTTAAATTGTTTATCTCAAGTGTAAAGGTAGTTGTATTTACATTTGAGACTTTGAAACATACTACAGTAACTTTAAATCTGTAACAGTTTAGACTGGAAATGACTGGTGACTCATATAAGCAATTGTTAATAAGATCTGAAGCTCGTGTCACTGCAGGTTAGTTGATAGCCTTAGCAGAGAGGCACGTGATTTTTTTTAACCTCTCCACGAAAGTGGACTGATTGGCCCCAAGAATGTTCGGTGTTTACTTGAACTTCATGTAACTTTATAACCGACTAGGTCGTCATTTCCGCTGTACTTTATATTTGGGTGTATCGGGGTGTATTGAATCGCAGCTAGAAAAACACAATGGGACTATTATTCTCTCTTGATCGCAGTTAATCAAAATTATAACAATTTAATAGGACAGTTAAGGGGACAGTTAATACGTCGTGCCTGTGCAAGTGGACAGAACGCGTCATGTGTGCGTTGTTGTCTTGCATATCGCCAAGTTAATTGTTGTTGTTTTTTCTTATGAAAACGTATAACCTTTGTCTAGTTTCATTCTCAAATTTTGTCAAAGTTTTGATTACTTGGTAACAGTACTTCGTGCCGTCCAATTTTGTCTGTATTCATACTCATGATGAACACATGGACTCCCGCCTCGCGATCGTCTGATTTTGTTAACACTCCTATAATTACAGACCAAATTGGACGCCACTCGGTCCACTTTCCATTATTAACAGAAAATACTGGACTTACCCCAAAATAAAAAACACACAATCACAAAACACTCAGACAACAAATTAAGAACCCACCAAGAACCAGCTATCAATAAAAACTAGCCATATTAAGTGAGAATTTTGGTTAGAGTTTCTCAGTACCAACAGTTTTTTTATTTTCAACATTAACCGGAAAGTGAACCCAACTGAAATTTGTCTTATAATTAGCTAGTAATTAAAAGTCTGAATTTGATTTTTATGCTTAGATTGTCTGAAGATTTGAGCGTCAATGAAGAACAATTAAAAGCAAGCCATATTTTAGAGCTTGCAGAGGCAGTAAAAAATCAATCAAATAAGTAAACGAGATAAGCCTTTCTAATTTTTTAATGCACTTAAGCTAATTTAAAAAGTTCCCAAAATGTAAGTAAATTGATTGTAAATATCTCTAGAGGAACACTCACCATTCTCCTGAAATTACAAAGACTTGAAAAAATTACAGTGAATAAATGCTCCCATTTGAATTAGGAGATGCTTCTCTATACAGTTCATTAAAGTGAATCTTAATTAATTAAGGAGACGTGTGCCAAATTGCAAAAAACGGAATCACACTGCAATAAGTCCTCCCCACTGGACGATGTCTTAAGCTCAAGATATGCGGGATTTTTTTAAATATTAGAAACTTGGAAAGAGGAGAAAAGTTCTATGCGAAGTACCAAATTTTGAATGTTTGATTACAACGTTTAATCTTGATTACAAGCCAAGGGACTCACGCATTAAGTGCGAGACTCCAAAACTCTCTTGGTTCGATCGGTATGTGATCTCCGGTTATAATAATGTGCTTTAGAGAGCAGGACTTACTGAGCGGAGGAGCCTGTTCGAGACAGTTGGTGCGTCCATTGTTGATATGCAAGGAAGGCCGCGAAGGGATTAAGCAGGCCAAAACGTATAGCCAGTTGAAACATTATATGCTTGCTAACACTGACCCTTTCGTGCACTTTTTATGTGTCAGTGTGTACATATGTGGAGGGAGTTAGACGAAAGGTTAGAAAATGCTAAGTTTCTTAAAACCGACTAATTGGTGTAATCTCCACAGACGGCAATCATTGGGAAAACTGTTTCTCTACAGAATCAGAGAAACAGTTTCAATCAGCTAAAAAAGACGAAGGAAAAAACGATTCTGTGTTCACAGATGAAGTTGATCAAGGTAAGAAAATGGAATATTTGCCTTATGTGTAGGCAATGCGGGTAACAAAAATGACCATACATCACTTTCGACAATTTTAGGACTACCAAATCATGAAGTTCTAGAGAAAGTTGACGACCTTCAACAAGAGGTTAAAGAGAACGAAACGAAACTTCAAGAAAAAGAAGAGGATCCTCAAGAAAACAGATCGAAACTCCAACAAAAATACGAAGAAATTGAAGGAAAAGGGAATCAACAACAGACTCTTGAAGAACAATTGCAAACCGAAGTCTCCCCGTTTTGCATTCTTCCTCCTGAACCGACACAAGACGTCTCCCCTCGCGGATCGGAGGTTGGTAAAGTCACACAACACCTCAAAGCGCTCAAAGCCGGAAATCCTGGAAGTGGAAATTCTCAGCTGGCCCGTCTAACAGCCAAGCGATTATTCGACGAAGGCAAAGAAACTCCCTGTGCGATTCCCATTGTCAGGACGCTTAAAGCTGAAAGTTCAGCATTGAAAGTTCAGTTAGGTCTTGTACACTGTCAGCTGGCTGACCTCAGGCGAGCGGAACACCGTCTCCGTCGAGCGCTAGCTATTAAGCTTAAAAATCTCGGACCTGAGCATGCTGATGTCGCAGCGTCTTACAATAACCTTGGTCTCGTACACCGTCAACTGGGTGATCAAAGGCAGGCGAAAGACTGTCTCCAGAAGGCGCTGGCTATTAGGCTTAAAAATCTCGGACCTGAGCATGCTGATGTCGCAGCGTCTTACAATAACCTGGGTCTCGTACACCGTCAACTGGGTGATCTAAGGCAGGCAAAAGACTGTCTCCAGAAGGCACTGGCTATTAAGCTTAAAAATCTCGGACCTGAACATGCAGATGTCGCAGCGTCTTACAATAACCTGGCTAATGTGCACCGTCAGCTGGGTGACTTAAACCAGCCAAAAGACTTTCACGAGCGAGCACTGGATGTTTACAAGAAAAACCTCGGACCTGAGCATGCTGATGTCGCAGCATTTTACAATAACCTGGGTCTCGTACACCGTCAACTGGGTGATCTAAGGCGAGCGGAACACTGTCTCCAGAAGGCACTGGCTATTAAGCTTAAAAATCTCGGACCTGAGCATGCTGATGTCGCAGCGTCCTACAATAACCTGGGTAATGTGCACAGTCAGCTGGGTGACTTAAACCAAGCAAAAGAATGTCACAAGCGAGCACTGGATGTTTACATGAAAAACCTCGGACCTGAGCATGCTGATGTCGCAGCGTCTTACAATAACCTGGGAATTGTACACAGTCAGCTGGGTGACCTAAGGCATGCGAAAGACGTTCTCAATCAGGCAATGGCTATTAATCTTAAAAATCTCGGACCTGAACATGCTGATGTCGCAGCGTCTTACAATAACCTGGGTAATGTACACAGCCAGTTGGGTGACCTAAACCAGGCAAAAGACTTTCTCGGGAGGGCGCTGGCTATTAAGCTTAAAACTCTCGGACGTGAGCATGCTGATGTCGCAGTTTCTTACAACAACCTGGGTCGTGTACACAGTCAGCTAGACGACCTAAACCAGGCTAGAGACTGTCACGAGCGGGCACTGGCTATTAAGCTTAAAAATCTCGGACCTGAGCATGATGATATCGCAGTGTCTTGCAATAACCTGGGTCATGTACACAGTCAGCTGGGTGACCTAAGGCAGGCGAAAGACTTTTTCGGGAGGGCGCTGGCTATTAAGCTTAAAAATCTTGGACCTGAGCATGCTGATGTCGGAGTGTCTTACAATAACCTGGGTCATGTACACCGCTTGGTGACCTAAACTAGGCAAAAGACTTTCTTGAGGGAGGGCTTGTTGTTTACATGATTAATGGACTCCTGTGAAGAGCCAATCAGAGTGCAGTTAGTGACGCTTTTCACGAGCCGCAGCAGATCACGGAAATGAAAAATAGAATCAAAACCTGCCACTAACTGTCAGAATTTTAACATAACTTGGAAAAATAAATTATTACTGTTTCAAAATTAGATGAATTTTTTATTTCAAATGTTAGACTATTCTAGGAGGATGGTTCCTCTGAAATCAATTAGTTTCAATTACTAGTTTTTGTGCAAGACTTGATATCGAAGTTATGCTTTTGACCATTATCCATAGTCTAAATCGTTTATAACATGAACAATCTTAACCAATTTAGGTTGCCGTTAGTATTTGTAATTGAAGACGATGAACTCTGTCCCAACCTTCAATTAAGTCGGCTGATCATTAAGGAAGTTTAGAGATGGCGTTTGTGTCGTTTGTTTTGGGTTTTCGTAGTTGGTACGGTTATTAGAACAACATGCACCCCCTATGATTCCGGTTTACGAAAACGCACTTATCTGATGAATCCACATGACCAGTATCTCTTTCAGAGCTAGATATTCCATTTGCCGGTCATTTTCGCGGCAATTATACATAAAGTAGGGCAGCGGTTTAAGCTATGTCACGTAAGGAGCACAGAAAATCGTTCCGTTGAAGACCCACTTGTATTTCAAATCCAAGCTACGTCACAGCTTGGCAGCCCAAAAACTCCAGTCCTGTAAACATAAAAAAAACTTGTCGTTAGAAACAATGATATAATGCCCAAGTAACTCCGAGATGAATAAAGGGGGTAAGTTTCTAAAGAAACTGTGGTGCTGCGTTGGTGGGAGAGTATAGCAGGTAATTTAGTGTTAACAACTGAGTTGAAAACGTAAATTAGCCACCGTAAAGGGTAAAAAAGCTGACGTTTAGATAATCGAAAGATAATCAGGCTTCCTATGCAAGGTTTGTGGTAGATCAGATGATACAGCATTTTTAAATTGACTTTCGTAAAACGAAATCAAAGTGATGACGACAACTGATCATAACAGAGGTCCTGCGTCAAAGTAGTAGCAGGCAAAGTAACAAAAGTGGAGGAAACGCGGGTGACCGTGTCACAATTGTTTTTGTTTAGGGTCTAATTGGTTTAGAGGATGCCGGGAGTTTTCTAGATCAATCACAGACCTAGGTAAAGCACCAGCAAATAATTCCGGATTACTCCCGACGCTCAATTGAGAATTTCTCTACGCACGGTTTTTTTATGTTGAAATTTATGGTCTTGTTTGATATTCATGGCGGTCAAATCATGTACCGACGCTCACTGTCTTTTGCAGTCTACAATAGCCCGCGAGCACGCTCTTTCGGGCGCAGCAATAACAGCGATGAAGTCTACGTGTTTCTAGTTGGCCATGTGAGCGAATGAAAGGTCCCCCTCGTATATCTCTCGTGCCCTTGGAACGCGCGGGCCTTGCTCCTCGTGTCGCTGCTCCAACATAAGCTTTGCTTGCAGGCTCAGTCTGAAATCAGTCCATTTCTTGATTGGTTTGAAGAAAAGAAGACTGCAGCAGAGTACGAATCAATACAGCAGCCTGAGTTGGATTTCTTTTTCTGGTTAGCATTGAGTTTAGGTTTTCATACCTTTGGGAATAGGTTTCCAGATTCTACTCTCTAACTGTAAGTTTTTAACAATCGATTATTTTTCTTTATTCTAATTTGTTGTTTAATTTTTTATTCCTGTCATTATGTTTTTTTGTCTTGAATAACAGGAGCAACTTAAATTATCAATAGCAGAAATCACCCCTACCCTTCTCATAACTTCATTCAGAAGACTGACCGTGAGATAACGGAATGTTTGATTTGCATTGCTAATATATGTCGACAATCAATTGATATTCATTTTAGTTGTGCATGAAACTTTGAACGAGAGCTCCGAGCTTCCGTTGCATATTTGGCTTAAAATTACGCCTTTCGGTGAGACAAATCGTTTCGTAACAAGCGTTAGGTAGTTCTAATTCCAGTCAGTTGAACCCATGATGTTGGCTGGCCTTAAATATCGGTCTTGGAGGGAAAAAGAACCGAAGCACGTGGGTGACCGGACTGCGACCACAAATCAACTGAGTAAAACGTGAAGTAACAGAAGTGTCTTTCCAGAGCTCAAGTAAGTTACTTAGTTTCATTCTCCCACACTCTATAAATGTTATCAACAAATCAGTGCTCTTTTCAAGAGCCTCGGCTAAATTTTAATAGGCATAATGTGTCAATGAGCCAATCTCGCCTTTCATTCACTTCTTCTAATTTGTCGGTGAAATAAACAGTGTAAGGAAATTTGTCTCGAGTAAATGTGAGGTA